GGCTCTAGGAGACAGTTGGTCGTTGCTGGAGGGGACGGGGTGCACGGTCCTTGTGGTCGTGCTAGGCTCGAAGAGTGGTTCCATGCACTCAGTGTAGAGCGGACTACGGTCAAGCCACCGCCCTGTGTGCGCTTGATTTCCCAAATACAGCGTGCTTGTGTTTGCCTGTGAAGGAGTGTGGGCCGGCTCCGTTGATGAAACGTGGCTCCCATCCGCATGCCTCCCGGTCTTATTCCTTCGGGCTTACACTGAATATTGGGTGTGTGGCTGGAGCTGTAGGTGCTGCATCGCAAGCCACCCATGGTCCCATATATATATATATATATATATATATATATATATATATATATATAATTAGATGCAGCCTAAATGAGCTGCTTATGGAATGGGGTGTAACTCGAGCGAAGCTAATAGAATAGCAATTAGAGACACGTGTAATCGTTCACTTGATCATTTTAAGACGGTTCTGGATAAAATGAAGAGCATTTGGTCAAAAGCTCGCAGTGTTTGCTTCCTATTACAAGGTAAAATAATTGTTCTCGCCAGCACAGTGAACGACGGCAACAACAGTGCAGTCACCTGGATGAAAGAGTGGAAGGCACCTGTGTCAAGCGACCCTCTGTGAAGCAAAACGTCAAAGTATGGGCCTCGATCTGAAATCTAATATTCATGGAACACAACCTCATTTTATATCTCGGGTTAATTAGAACCACTCACTGACGTAGAACACATCTCCTTGCTATTACATTCTTGTTCAGCCTTCGAACTCTGTTCATGTCGATCTAATTCGATTGCCTACCATCCTTCAGTTTGCCTCTGCAGCAATTGACCGGCTTTCGGTACCAAACCGTTAATCACGACCGTTTGCTAAACATGCCGCATGCTCAGTGTGGTATCTCACCACCACAACCTGTTGAAATGTGTGCGTCGTTTCGGTACCATGCAGCATCCATCGATTACTTGTCAGTTCCGGTGTCAGATCGAGCCTGTGAAGTTTATCTTGGGTGACTGTTGCCAAACGCAGAAAAAGCTGCTTTTGAGTGGTACTGAACCTGGACAAAACAACATCACAACTGAACCAAGATGGTCAGATGAACCGCCGCACTGATGAAAGTCATTTTCAATGTTTACCTGACCTCTAAGTGACAACAGCTTGAGAGATGTTTGCGGTTCGACACAATACCCTGGGTAAGTGCCGTATGTCTATTGAGGCCCTGTGACTTCATTCATCGATCAGAGGAGATACGCAAAGATTCAACCAGGAGATGAATCGAGGAGACTGGTTCCTGTGAGAAACTGTAGTTAGCCGCCAAGAGAACACGGGCAAGATAAGTTTGCACGATTCCAATCCTTCCAATATACTGCCCTATCACATGTGAACAAAAACAAACTGCATCAAGTAAATTACCCAACTCGTTGTTGGGTTTTGATGTGCCTGCGATGTGTTTGAACTGCGACACACAGTGTCAATCTGGAGTAGAATTTAGGTCGAGGCAAACACCAGCCATTCCGATGGCTAGGATATTATCCGAAGATGAGATGTTTCGGATGATGTTCGCTTCAGGCACTGTACTTTACGAAATGTTTCGTTGTCGCTGTAAGTATCAAGGTAGGGAAAACTCAGCCCAATGTTTGATGCTGAGGAAAACGTCGGTCACTCATGTACATGGGTCATCGCAAAGGCGCCTGACTGTGGCTTTGGTAAGGCCCTCATTATGGCGGCATGGGAGAATCAAGGCGACCAAATGCCCTTCCGCCATCTCCACTTCTCATACCAGACTGGACGACACCAAGTGATCACCTGTTGATCGTTTTTCCGAGCTTGATAAAGGGATTGCATACGTTTCACCACCATGCGAGGTGGCATCTTCAGTGCGGTGATATGCAGTCCGTCATCTACGGGCAGGTGACTTCTGAAGGTGGCAATTTCGATTTGCGCCAGGTGATCTCTGCCCATTTGCTTCCTCGGCTGAACCACGTCTTTCGATTCGCTCAGAAAGAAAGATCTCCGGCGAATCGAAAGACATGGTTCAGCCGCGGAAGCAAATGGGCAGAGATCACCTGGCGCAAATCGGAATTGCCACCTTCAAAAGTCACCTGCCCGTGGATGACGGACTGACGATTCAATGGGTAGGATTATACACTGCATATCACCGCATGGTGGTGAAACGTAGGCAATCCCTCTATCAAGCTCGGAAAAACGAGCAACAGGTGAGCAACCAACCCGGGCTACCAGTGTTCCAAATTATTTCGACATTAGGTGATGTTACCTAAACCGTATGGGTGTCAGTAAGCAGAGCGGCACGCCGGTGTGCGCCAATGACGTTCTGCTGCCACGAGACCACCATGTCGCGAGCCGGCTAGGGATACTGCTAGGTCGTCCGCACTTACGCAGTTCAAACTGGCGATCGTCGGGTTGTAAGGCTGACGCCGCATCCCTTCGGACACCGGTTGATAAGCAGAGGCTTAGGCGCAGTACCCGTGAGACGACAGATCGTATCCTTCGCATTGAGCGGAGTTCGTTCGCAGCAAGGTTCCACATATGGATGTGCAAAACTTGACTTGGAAATGGGTGATGATCAGAATGCCTTCTCACAAGATGATCTGTGATGTGAGGAGAGAAAAAACAGTAGTCCTGGCTTCTGCGTAGCAGTAAACTGTATAACAATGGAGAATGCACTGTGCTATACCACAATTTGTGAGTCACATATAACCTAGAGATCTAAGTCAGCGCCTCACGAAGGAGACGGCTGTGGGCTGAACTAGATGTGAGACAGACGTCCAGTGCTTTTCGAAATGCACATCGGCTGTCCCATGTTAGTCGAGATGAACCAGCTAGTGAGAAACATCGCCCGCGAGGAACTCACAAGGTCAGCTGATGGGTGATGATGTGTTCACAACCGGAATGCGATTGGACAATGAAAAAGCGAACCCATACTGCTCGATTTTGTGGTGGATAGTCGACAGGGTTATGAAGTCAAAAGATTATATCCAACAGCCGGTACCGATCGGTACCACGTGTTGGGCAAATTTACACACGGAGGAGCAACCATCCACTTATGGAGCATATCTTGGGCATCACACAGGCGGCGCGATGGGGACACGGTGGACGAAAGAAGTGACCCAGTAGTAAAGGAGAGTAATGATACGATGACCGCGGCGTGAACGCGTTTACGGTGCCCAGTCGAGACCGAGTGAAGAACAGTTATCAGCTAAAACGAAGGCAATGGTAGACAAAACGGCTCAGTACAGCAACGTCATGAGTGTATTTGGTTGAAGTGTAAATCCGAGCGTATTGCAGGTGATTCCAAAAACAAGCACTTTTTCACCTGCATGGATAGGTTTGCCATGATTCTTTGCGCCATCCAGATTAGATAAGAGGAAGTTTAGCGTTATCATACAAAAGGTAAATGCAGGGGCGATACGACTTTGTGTACGGATGGTATTAGTCCGCGCGCTTAACGAGTGCGAGTCAGGAGCAGCTGTGGTAGGACAGACTTGGAAAACCGACCAAGTGGTCCTCGAATAAGAAAAGCAAATGGCCCGAGTGCCAACATCGTCCGTGTGTAGCAATTCTACACTGCTCGGTTTGCAAAGAGGATGGATTATAGAAGACAATCATAACTATGGAAGAGCATAAGAGACTTAACTGGGTGAAGCTGCGTTCCAGAAATACTGCACAAACCGAATGGTTCGAGCGCTGCCTCGACGCCTACCCCGAACCGTTAGCCGAAGGCAAAGCCACCGGACGACCTGGCCGTTCTCGGTGCGGGTGGACGGAGTCACACATGTAGTTTGGTGGGCCCGTGACGGTTAAGCGCTCCACTTGTAGACTAGAGCGATTGCGTTTTCGGCGTCGTTTCAAAGGAGTCCCAAGTCTTGCTCACCATGTTAAATACGATCCTTGCACCAAGCGCGGAACAATAATTCAAGAAAAATGGAAAAAACTACGCTATAACACAGAATAATTATTCGGTGTTATAGATTAGAAAGGTGCAGTAGTGAGCAATAAGGGGTCTCAGGCGCTTTGGTTCATAACAATATTCTAAGCACGATGGTTCGCACCGGTTGGAACACATCAGCACGACACTGGCTCACACATTCATGTGGTGTCAACACGAACGGGAAACCGCAAACCTCTAATCTGCACGGTAAAAAGATGGCTGACAATAAAAGTAGCTTCTACACGGCAGAAGAGGTGATTTGTTAAAGTCTGGAAACCTGCGACTTGCATCGGAAATACTTGACAGCAAGAAATGAACAGTTGTTGAGAACGGGTAGAAAATTCAAAAGAAATATGTCACCGAATTCCACCGTGGAGCATTATGGAGGGCAACCTGACACGACCCAGTGCATCGTACAAAGTTGACCCATTGGTAGGAACCAAGCTAAATGATTTGAAAAGTCTAATCACTGTGGCTGATGCACTAAACAAAGAATAGTAATTCCGAAGTGATTGAGTAACACGATCTACAAGCGCGAGGCAGCTTCCTGAAAAATGGAGGATATACACGGTTCAATGGCCTGGCCAGCCGTTATGTGATTAGCTGAAATAGCAAACCCAACGCAGATATCTGGCTCAAAATCGGGCACATCTGGCACTCAGTTCTTAAAGACTGCTGACGAAGCAAGCAGATTCAAAGCCAATGGAACGCCGCCTAGTGTGCTCGCCCAGTTCGCCTCCTAGGGTATGTAAATCGTCACCAAAAAAGGGAATGAAGACGAATGATGAAACCCCGTCCAGTTACAAACAACAGAGTCTACGGTGGTCGAGATGTAAGATGAAGGCAACGTTTCATTGGACAGGGATTCAATTTGACAGCGCAATGCTGCCGATCCTTACCAGAGAAGCACCGAAACGCGCTTACTACTCACCAGTAGTTAAAAATAGACAAAAAGTTCAGTCGTCAAGGCGGTTTTCCCGGGCGTGAGCTGGATTCTGGGTCGGACAAAGCACGTCCAGCGCAAATGCCCATCATAAGGGATAGAATGTAGACAAGTACGATAGGCAGTTCAGTGATTGCATAAAAAAGGACACAAGGTACAATCTGGCAGCTGCAAGTAGTCATGGTTAATGGAAAAATGGACAAGTGAGAGATGATGAGTGTGATCACAGCAGTGGATGAAAGTTGGGGATGAGAGGGAGCAGGGAGTGGTGCGCGCATCCGGCGTGATCACCGGATGACATCTGGGTGGAAAAAGTCGTAATGGTCATGCAGACCCATTTGGCATGGAAGTGTGGGTGGGGTCACACAAATAAGCAAGCGTTTATAGTCCCTCATCATCGTCATAATCCAGTTAGGAGAGCAATGCGTGAGAGTAACGATGGGCACATAAAGCCAGCATATGCCGCGAAGATGCTAGCGCAAAAATTGAGTACAGAGATTTGTGTACCTGGGGAGTATTACATCATGATAAGAAAGGCGAACACAGGCCGTCGCATTCATGAAATGGACAACTCCGCAATTTGTTGGCATAGCGTAGGTAAATCCCAAAATACCAGGTAACCATCTCGTCCGATGGAGGAAATACGAGAAGGTTGTCCTCGATTTCGTTCACAAATTCGCAGCTCGCTGAAAGAAGAAAAAAGCAGTAATGAGAGATGAGTCTCCGGAGGATCACGAGTTACAAACAACAAGCGTTAAGAAAAGTGAAACTGCTGAATAGCTCATCGTTGCCGTCCCCATGAGGAGACGATATAAAACAGTTCAAGATCAGGATGATCACAAGCTGCCAAAGTCGTGCCGTCAAAAACAATAGGCCATTAAATGAAGATAAAGCTGCGTCAGGGAGGCATCTTCCTCGCGGCTATTGCCGCCCCGTGTCATAATCAACCATTTCTCGACAGAATTTGGTAACATACATAAGCTAATTAAGTAACCCAGTGGGTAGACGAGAGCGGTAATATCCCAGTACTGGCTGAAGGGACTAAAACCACCTGGAAAGTGAGACAGACCAGTGACCAGTGTGACCACATTGCTCGACGTCAAAGCAATGAGTTTTGAAATACTGGTAGGTCGGGTTGCACGCCGCATATCACTGCACTGAGGATGCCACCTCGCATGGTGGTGAAACGTTTGCGACAAAACCGCCAAGCTCGGAGAACAAATGAACAATTAAAGCAAGGAGTATTCCACAGGAAGCACAAACCGTCTCAGATTCAGTCCTCCACAAGGAATAATGAGAAGGCATATGTGGTGAGTGTCAGAACAAATTCCATTTATTCATTACTTTTTTGCTGAGACAATGAGGACGAACTGACCGACACCGCCTAGTGCTCGCTCGCGTACTACAGTGTTATGGACAAGCTGGGGTCATCCGAAAGAAGCAACAGCCGTCGAAGGTCTGAAGTTGACAGAGGGGTCAAGCCTCGTCTTTCTACAACAACGGACGAGGGGTCCTCGAGGCAGTCTTGCATACAAAAAGTTTTGAAAGAAAATACGCGGTTGAGGCCACTGATATCGTAGACCAGTGATTCTCAATCTGGGGGTAAACACCCCCAATGGGGTAATACGGAATTTTACGGGAGATAAATATAAGTACGAGGATTAAGTCATCAATCTGTCCCCGAACCAAATTAATAACAAAATCATCTGTAACCAAACAAGTAACTACCTAATCACTAGTTACTAGCCATCAGTGACTAATCATTAGCAAGTGGTTAGTGGATTAGACAATTTTCGGTAATAAGTTTATTAGCTAAAATACGGATACAAGACTGCAAACCAGCGCCTCTAGCGGCTCCCTCGTCGATCGTAGTTCTTTTGAGTCAGGTAGTCGTTCGCCGGGTCGAAGTACAGAATTGAGTGAACACTAAAGTTAGAGCATAAGGTCAGCCGACCAGGTAAAGGAGAGAGCGAATGTTGACAAGGCAGAAGGGACAAGGGATCCTGTCATCCAAGACGGAATTGAAAGGGATGAATGAAACGAATGAGAAGTCACTGATATACGTTCATGCTTGATCAGGGATCACACACACCAAAGCATGGAACCGAATGAACTTGGAGCACGATTTGCATTAGCCGAAGGCGTACCAAATATACCATAAATTGTTGGAGCTAAACATTATCAACCATTTCAGTAACTCACACCACCTCTTGATTTAAGGTAACAAGTTGCTCTAAAATAAGTGCTTTTATATTTGAGGAAATTAATCAATAATGGTAGTCATTTTCCATAACGTAAAGCAAGAATGCAATAGTTAATAGGCAATTAGCTTGATTTCTTGGAACCTATTTGGAACTGATCAGCTTGGTAGACGACCAGTTAATATAGTAACCGGTCGTCTACCAAGCCTTCTGAAATGAAAGGTAATTAGATTTTTAAACTAACAATTTTCGGGGCAATGGTTTATAGTGAACACGCTTTAGGGGGTAACAACCACAAAAAGGTTGAGCACAAGTGTCATAGGCCAACAAGAGTAGTACCTACCCAACACAATGGGGCAGCGACCTCAACAGCCAAACATCTGTCGGTGCTAATGTGGTCACCAAAATAGGCGCCAAGCAAACAAGTGAATTTAGTCGGAGGAAAACAGAGAAGTTCTTTGGTAAGAAACATGCTGAGAACGGGTGTTTGAGAGAAGAGAAGGCCAGAAGCGTGCGCAGTAAGCGGTTTCAGGTAGCAATGCTGGACTCATGTCAAAAGATTGTAACTAATTCTATATAGGGTTATTGCCAAGGCACTGTTATGCAACTCCCATTATAAATCGGAATAGCAGGTAATTTGGGGTTACAATTGCATATCTTATATGGATACAATAGACGAGAGCAGGGGTGCTAAGAGTTAGCCGTTATATAAGCCGTGGATGACCACCCGGGAGCAAAGACTTCTGTGGACGGGGAAACAGTTTGCAAGTTTGTACAACATGAATGCGAAGAAAGGTGGAAAGCAAAAGTGGTTGAACACGCTCGGTTAAGTATAAGCAGGACCGGTATAGCATTTCAGAAGCTCAACTACCAATGGAAAAAGCGGGATATCAGGTTGTCAGTGAAAAGTAAAGTGTATAACGCTGCGACAAGGCCGGTGTCACTGGATCAGACATCTGGCCAGTCCGCGGCGAAGACATTAAATGCTTTGCCATGTTTGACCACCGGCGCTTGCGAAGTAACAATCACGTTTAGTGGGAACACCGAGTGAGCAATGCTGAGGTCCACCAGTTGGTTTTTGGCAAGAGGCCTTCTGGTGCTTCACTGGAGTGATTGTTGAATCTTAATCGCTTATGTTGGCTAGTCCATGTCCTCCGTATGCCCGCTGACCGGCTTCCTTGGCGCGCCTTATACGACGTGGATTCAACAAGATGGGTGAAATCTCAAGGTGCGTAGTTTGTGAGGTCGTATAAAATAATGAAGAAGTTGACTGAGAAACTTGGTTAGGCTGATGCGTGCCATGGGCGGCCCATGTATAGTCCACAACAGTGGTTGGAGACTCTAGCAGACATGACGCAGTCGCGCAAACATTGGCGTTCCTGCATTCAGTTTCTTGCATCTAGCTGTTAATTTTCATTCTATCCCGATTGGCTCAACGCATTTCTTGCTTGATTCCAGTTTCTATGTATTCTATTTGCGGTCAACTTGTTTCTTGTCATTAGTTGTTATTCTGGCGATGTGAGTAGTGGCACCTGGATCCACCGCAGATCGGTGCCCAGATCAGAGTTTCTAAACTGATATGGAAACTGTGGACCGACAGCGTAAACAGTTTGGCATTTAGCTGGGATCGGTGAAACCATAGTTTTGAGCTGCGTTCAACTAATCGTTCAAATAATAGAGAGAACGGATATGGAATACCTTACTCAGAGCACGAAGTGCTAATGAAGTACTGAGACTTCAAACCCTTCGTGCTCTGTGATTACATCAGGCTGAACCAATCATGAGCTATAGTTCCAGATCAAGCAATTACCATCAACTGTCTATATTGCCAACGAACACAGCGGCAGTGAAGTCGGCTATTCGTTATCCCCGTGTTTATTCAGTTTGTCGACAGAAAGACGTCGCTCAGTTAAGGTAAATAACTATGATTAGAGCATAGAACGGCAGTGGAGTGATGACCGCCGTCATCAACAAGTGAGCATTTGGCGGTTTGGAAACGATATAGGGACAAAGTAGAATATAAAGAAAAGAGCGGATAAAACGAATAGAGTGGAATGTTAACAGTCAGATGCAAGAGTCCGAATGCAGTAGCGTCATTGACTCGGCGACTGCGCCAAATCGGATAACATTCAAAACAAAGGAAGTTGACAATTACGAAGCTCCCATTCATTAGGGAAACAAGTATCAAGTCGACTAAGACTCTCGGTCAACTTCTTCATTCTTTGCTGTCGTGTCATCGACTGGCCACGTCGCGCTTTCGCTAAATCAGATGCAGCAACGGCAAAAACGCACAACGAGTGAGACAGCCGGGTATACCGGAAGACAAGACGAGGCCAACGCAAGCGGTTCAAAGTTGAGACACTCTAGTGTGACACAACATTTCTTCTGGGATGCCAACTGGTGGAGCATAGTATTATTTACCCGGTGTCCACCAGATAATTAATACAAGAGCACCGATGCTCAACAGCAAGCAATTTTTAGGGTCTCCGGAGCGCAATTTCCGATCCGCAGCATTGTAGGCCTCAGTATCGACTAAGAGAACAATATTCCAAGATCTTCGCGGATAGCTGAGACTATGGAGAGCCATACAGGCTTTATTGCAACATACATTGAATGGCTAGAGTGCCTATCTCTGTACAATAGCCACGAAAATAAGTTAATGCTGTGTTTTCCTACTTGCTCTTTAGTAACATCGGCATAATGACGGCCTGCTTGCCTATAACAGCGGCCATACAAAGTGAGTCACCATGATGACGATTTACTTGCTTTTAAACCGCATCAGCACATGACCAGATGAGTCGTGGAAATGCGGATGAGACCTCTCGAGGGAGTTGCCCCGCATGGAAACAGGTCCCCAGGAGACGGTTTCACAGATGGTCGCATTACTTTACTTGAACTGCCAGTTATACACACACATTTATCCACTCTCTACTTCTCCGCGTTTAGTTGATGGAACACCCCGAAAACTCCATCGTGAGATACTTCGTAAAAGTAGAAAAACTTTCGTTACTATCCGAGTATGTTGTAAAAGAATGATCAGACCACATAGTTGGTCTGTCTCGCACTGCCGAGAAATATACCATTTATTTATTTTAACTATCAAGGGGATACTACTACGCAAACAGCACTTGTCAAAGTATGTGCCACCGATCTAGTAGTACTGTAATAACAATTGGGTTGGATTCAAAGAAAGTCACAGGACCCAGGTGCTAGAAATTTGTTTGTTGGTCAACAACAAATTCACAGAGAGAAGAAGAGGCATCAACAGTACACCACACCGACCATCATCGGACGAGCGCGCTGGTTAAGGATAATACGAAGTCACCCACATCTATGCAGATTCGAACTAGTGACTTTTGGGTTACAAGATAGACACCTCTTGTGTTCCGCGACCAACCGAGCACATTCACAATGAGTAGCCTAAGCGTTTTATCGGCACAGATAGGGGAAGACAGCGGATGCAGCTGTTTGTGAAACTGATGTGGTTATAGCATGGAATTAGCGTGTTCTGCTACAGATGGGAGTCTGGCTAGTAACAGAGAATGCACGCTAATATCACTAGATCAAGTTTGCAGACTCACTAGTGACCCATTCAAGTGACATAAGAAAAACATGTGGCTCATTGCATTCGTCTCCTTGATGATACGCCAAGGTGGATCGCTGTGTCTCACACTGATTGTGTCTGAAAGGTAGTTGCAGTGAGAAAGTGAGTAGACACCCCGATCAGCTGTTTTAGCATAGGGTTCTGGGTTCACTCAATGCTGGACTTCTATCTCTCCTCGGCCTGCGGCTACCCAGTATGAGTGTTGTGGTCCTCTGACTACGTGAAACAAGATACATCGTTGTGAATATGCACGGTGTGCGTTGTGTAGTTATACCATGGCAATGCGCCTACCGGCTATATGTGGGGTAAGGCTGATTATGATGTAGGACATAGAAAGCCGCAAGGATGCTGCCTCGCCGATGCCGCCTTATCTTTGCACGATAGCCAGCTGTTTGTGACGGTACGTTGTCTACACAAGGTGTAGGCGCCTTGACCCAGAATGTTTGCTTAGGGCACTAAGGTTTTCGGGTAAGTCCCCCTTCTCTCCCTCTTCTTATTATTTATTTCATAAGTCCTCATGGTTGTATGGCAGCGAAACATCAGTTCAAATGGCTGATGTACTGCTGTTGATGATGATGATGATGTTGGCAAGATGTAGGCGCCTTGACTTTGAATGCATGTTTGGAGTATTTAAGCTTTACTGTAGGGCGCGCTTCTCTCCTTTTCAATAAATATCACTATCAGTTATTATGTCTGCATAGCAGCAGTATCAGTTCAAAGTAATGACCTACCGAAGTCTACGACGATGATCTACCAGGGCGCATTTCATTGTTCCATTGATAAATAGTGCGGTAGACAAAAAGAAAGAGATAACCCCATAGAACAAGTACCAGTGAAGACATCAACGCGAACACGGCTCGGTGAAGAACAATGAGGCGTACTTGATGCAGTTCTGATGAACCGTGTCAAGACGTGATCCGACATTTTCCGTCGTGGCCATCCGATCGATATCTTGGAACTTCTTCATTGCGGTCAACTTCCCCGTCGTCTTGCCCTCGCTTTTAACGTCCAGCTGTATGAGACAAGGGTGCAGTGGGAGTTGAAATCTCATAGTTAAAAATGTACAAGCTCGTATGCCACAAGGGTATCAACTAGGGAGTAGGTGCAACATTCACATACAGTATGGTCGACTTCGCACCGGTCATCACGTTGCGCACAGGCAAACAATCACACAAGCATAAGATGTCCCATGTATGTGCATAAATTAATAACCATAAAATGGTTGCAGAATTACCAGCAATAAGATATAAGTGTGGTAAGAGGGAAGTGTGAAAACGTAGTGTGTCAGCAATGCGCCGGTGCACAATCCCGGCGTTTCGGTGCCCCACGTAACCACCAACAGTCGTGTATGGGCTGACGATACTACAAGGGTCACCCGGCCAATTAAGCAAGCTCGAATCCGCGACTACCGGATTACAAGACAGGCTAGGCCACGGTCCGGCCTAAGCACAGAAATATGGCAAGGGGAACGCTTGAGAAAGCAAAGTACGCAGTGGGGAAGAGTGGAACGTGTAGATTTCTACACAACGCAGTAACACATTGATGTATCTAGTGCAGACGTAAAAGTCTCGAGTAAACCCGGGTTAAGTTCATCGAATGATGACGTGTAGCGATGAATGCTTAGCTAGAAGGTCTATGAAAGAATAAATGGGATAGTAAAAGTGGAACGGGTGTTCAACAAGCGAGAAAACCAAACCCGAAAAGACGCAAGGAAAGAGACCTGATGATAATTGCTCAACGGTAACCACAGTGTAGGTGATTACAACAGCAGTTTAGAGGAGGTGACAAGATCACGGATTTGAGGAATTCCACACCCACTTTGACACTTTAAGGTTAGAGAAACAAATTACAACTGTATAAGAGAAGTGTTATGACCTGAACTACTCGCAGTAGGTGGATAAATTACCAGAACGTGAATGGTATCGGTAGTATTGATATACTGAGATCATAAGGCAAATAAGTGTATAATCAGATGTTAGATGGTTCAATGGCCGATGAATCACCGGTGACTGGTTGATCTGTGCCACAGTCTAAATGGGTGTAAGCAAAGGTTTGGATTGAAGGACGGATGCAGCATGTGGACTGAACTTCCATATGCGACAAAAAGACAACTCCCACGTGCACCATGCAACACTGTATATGTCTGTTTAACTGGATATCAGCAATGAGATGCTGGGATCAAAAGCGGTACTTCGTTTTAGTAGCGCCGCTTGTTATCAGACGAGTGACATACAAATCAACACGTTTGGATCGAGGAGCCTGTGAATGCGGATCAGGCAATTGTTTCACCTGACAATGTTCGTCTTAAGTTCCAACATGGAAGGGGGCGAAAGTAGATTCGGTTAACACCGAGTGCATTGGCCTTCTATATATTGCATGACTTTTCGTATCGAACAAAGTAATCGATCCGGCGCCGCTTAATGGTGGTGCGGAAACACATTCCTCGATGTAATCGAAGTTGCAGACGCCACTGTCTGAACGCGATATCAGGCCGGTGAATAAGCTATCATAGCGGCGCGTTTGAGGCAAAATCCACGGCCATTTGGCTACTCTCTACATAGGTGAGCGGTGATACAGAGTAATTCAACCACACATTTCGCTATCCATGCTTTCTTAATTTAACAAACGGACTAGTTAACTCACGATGGATGGGGAAGATGGCGGTAAGCGCTTGCGCAGTGTAGGATAGGCTGAAGTCAAATGCATGTTCCGAAGGGGCAATGTACACGGACTGGTGTCCCGTGTCGTCGTATAATGCGGCAAAAAATGATAATAGTCGATGAAATATGCATGAAAGATGAACAACTCGATTGAAGAGGATGGAAAACTAAGTACGAACTAATTGAATCAAAGACACCACACGAAAGCCGTTGACAGAAAATGCCAGACGATTGTGCAATTTATCGGTGCATGAAGAGGAGTAAATTGCAAACCATTTCGATAAAAACTCACGGAATGTACGAACTCTATACCTTTGACGTTATAACGGAAGGCCAGTGGACAGCAATCGTAGCCCGCAGCAACAAACGTGGTTGGACCGACCCATAGGCAACTTATGAGCGGCAAGAACTCCGTACGTAGACACGAAACCACGGCCGGACCACATTTTACTCCGTTGGCAGGGGATGCTCCGCTAACATCCGCGACGAACAGTAAGGAATTATGTTTTGTCCACACTAGCTTGTTACCGTCAGCAGAAAACGACACGCCAAGTACCCAACCGCCTGTGTGTAGGGAAACAAGGATTTAATAAACGGAGGGCTTCGGTTACACTTTAGCATACAATTACTGAGGTCTACATGATGAGGCATAGTCAAACAATTGGCCTCACCATACACGATCTGATACAATAGACACTTGGATAACTGAAAGATCAAGTCGCTGTGAGGTTGGGCAGCAGCAGTGTGTCAGCACATCTCACCGACTCTTCGCTGCCACACGAACACCATCAGTTGCACGCTTGCACTGGGGACAGTGCGATGCTACCGGCACCTACGCAGATTCGAACCAGTGACGTTTGACTTACAACGTAGGCATCTTATCCATTCGGTCACGGGTCGTCAGGCTGAGAACAGGATGAATCATCCCCTTTGCCAAAAACGTTGTCGATCAGTCCGTGATCCGAACACCTTGACTGATAGTTAATGAAGCAACTGCTCCCGGCCTTCGGTGGAAAATTAAGCGCCAGGATGAGCTGAAAACGGATTTTAGTGACTGCAATCGTCTTCAGATTTATCTGGGTCGCCGATCTATGTTGAATAATAATAATAATAAGGTAGTTCTCCCTGGTGTTTTTAAACTTACATTGTTGTTTTAAAAAATGTCCTATGTGTCCGGTTCCAAGTGTCTGCGCATTGTAACACGTCAGTGAAATCCCGTGGGCACTATTCACAGCAACTGTCCTGTTGTAGAGCAATTAACTAAATGAGCTGAGCTCACAAAACATAAACTGCTTTTTTCTTCGGGCGAGTTTTGGACCTTAACATGACACGAAGGTTTGCCTATCTCCTTGATCCATTGAGCTATACTAGATGGTGCCTCCGGGCACCTTGAGAGCTACTCTTACCAGGTTGGTCAATGGTTAGACGTCAGACAAACACAGTCTCCTAGTCCTCCAGGTCAGGGGTTTGAAATGGGCCGGCATCCGTCTCTGCAAAACTTAATCATTGCCACCACCCCGTTGCCTTGCAGAGAGGCTTTTGAGCCAAAGGCTTTGGATGATGACCCTAACCGTTCTCCTGTCTAGGTCTGGACGCCACGGCAGTATCTCAGCCCACGTACAACCATGATTATTTCCTCAAACTTCATCATCATCCTGCATCAGTCGTCGCGCAGATTATCATTGGTCGCTTTATCTGCTGCATACAGCAGGGCGGATAAGCGAAAACATGTTACTGTTGGCATCTCCCTTCTTTCTTTTGCACCTCTTTCTCTTACTCCCATCCTAACCCCCCATTATTAACCTTGCTTCTATAATTCCCAGCTTAGTTGACAGCAACCGAAGTGCCAATGGAGTAGAACCATCTGCAGCCACCTTCCCACAACACCCCCTGGGCCCCTACCAGTAACAGTCCCCTTATAAGGCCACGCTGTTTCGTTTTCCTGGCCGCGTTCAACGCACGCACTCTAAGACAAATAGGTCAACAGGCTGCACTCGCACGCATGTTGGACACACTGAGTATTGACGTGTGTTGTGTGTCCGAAACTAGGAGCAATGACCCCAATGGGACTTTTGAATTAACTGTGCCCTGTTTGTCCTCTCGCTACTGGTTGCACGCATCCAGAGACACTGATGCAGCACCGAGGGGTCAAGCTGAAGTAGGTGTCATCCTCAGCTCCAAGGCTGAGTCACCGTTGGTTGGTTGCATTCCGGTGAACAGCCGTTTGCGTGTAGCCCGTTTGACGACATCAAGTAAGGTTGATTCACAAAGTAGTGCAAGACGATGTTTGATTGTGATTTCCGCTCATGCTCCCACCGACTGCAGCTCTGATACTGCCAAGGACACTTTCTATCACGAACTGAACGCGCTACCATGCAGTGTTACCAGTTCAGATATCTTCGTACTTGCAGGCGATATGAATGCACAAGTAGGACGTCTGAGCTCTTCAGTAGCTCAACTAGCTGATAATTATGGGTTAAACTCTGACCGCACGGAGAACGGCGAGCGTCTATTACAACTATGTGCAGGGCACCAGTCGTTTCTTAGTAACACCGCTTGTAGACACAGTGAGCGCCGAAGTGTCACTTGGTGTCCTGCAGTAGCGGAAAAGGGATGGACCCAAATTGACCACATTGCAATAAGCTACAGGTGGCGTGGTTCCATCCTGGATTGCCGCTCACACTGGAGTACCTGTGTTGACTCTGATCATGCCTTGGTACGCTGTCGTTTCTCCATGAACTTTCCCGGGAGGTGTAACAAGCGTCTCCCCCGAATGGCAACTGAGAAATTGTATCAGCCCTCTGTCACGCAAGCCCATCAAGGTGCAAAGCGTACCGAAGTTTCGCATCCTCGTCCTGATGAGATCGAATGTCAGTGGAATAGGATGTCGGTCGCCATGGACGACGCAGGAGCATCTGTTTATGATATTACCAATCGTCACCGAACCAGTCACTGGATATCCGAGAGGTCGGTGAACCTGTTGGAATCCAGAAGAAAACTCCCGGCTGGCTCTGAGCACAATGTGACCAGGTCATCATGGCTGTATGGCAGTGAAGCATCAGTTCAAATGACTGATGTACTGCTGTTGTCGATTGATTGATTTACCTATTCCAAATCGCATGAGTTTGTTCAAGTTACAAACCACTGGTCTATCCTCCTTTCAAGACACCACCTAGTATGACCGGTGGACTTACGTAGACACACAAGCCAGCAAACCATGTTGGGGCCCAGTTCCCGGCTGATGAAGTGATACACTTTACCGAGTTACACGAGTAGTATAGGATCGACTAATTACCATCTTAATAAGCAGGGAGTCCTCGATGTAGGGGTTCAAGCATCTTTGCAACGGCCTACTTTTTGAATGTGCATGCCAAGGTAGTATTCTATCCAACGTACAACTGTTTGTGATTATTTGATGTCAATAAAAACATAAGCACACTGCTGGTATCTCGCTTGACTTTCATGTCAGATAATAAACCAGGACAAGCTAGTCGGTGATAAACAAGACAGTCCTTCGAATATATGACGAAACAATCCGGGCAATCCATTGAGTTGTCCGAGACTGCAATTGAAACCGGTAAGTTTCGGCATTTGTGTTATCATTTCGTAGTACCAAACAGGATTCCATCAGTTATATTCTGTCTCGTATTAAGGCTACGTCAGAGTAGCGCCACATTTGGTTTTTCTTCCTACATTCTGAGTTTTTACAGCAGATCTTCGAGGTTAGGTTTGTCATCTAGTTTCTTTCTTTATGGTGGTGAGAAAACCAGGTGTTCTTCCGAAAACAACTGGCAACAAGCGTCAGGTAGCCAGCCGTAAGCCGAGTATTTCCAGGCTCGGTGTTTTAAAATATTTAGATTCTCATGACCAAAATGTAAATTTGGTTGTAGGAGATTGCATGAAAAATAGTAGGAACCAGCTAAGAAGGGCACCGCTCCACACCTGACACCTGAAATTGCCACCAAAATCCACAATCTAGAAAGTGAGGTAACCGTATTAAACGAAAAGCTCAAAGAAGTCAGTCAGGTACTGGATAAACTGACATCAACATCACACTTAGTGAATGTGCCTGATAAACCGAATGCAAATCACTTGCAAGCAGCAGTATCGATCTTTTCGTCGCTCACCACGGAAATTCGTGGAAGGATAAATCGAACTAGAAGTGCCATCTTTAACATCCCAAACAAAATACACCTGGAAGCTGTAAAGCGTGTCTTGCTCAATGCGCGTAGCATGAGTGGAACAAACTGTCACCTTATACGTCTAAGAAAAGCAAAGTCTAAGTACGAGTGTCCAATCATACTAAAGTTTCCAGAAGAAATCCATGCCCAAATATTTCACAAGAAAAGGAATCTAATCGCTATCAGCACTGATTTCAAGAGTATCATGATCAAACGCCCTTTCAGAGGGAAATTAGGGTAAATCAGGTACAATCCAATGACAAAGCTACTCCCTGTAATGTTGTTAGTCACTAAACTGATATAGAAACAAAAGATCAATCTACTGTGGATTTAGATTCATCCCCGTGCGAGTGTGGTGCTAAAGTTCTGAGTTCGGATTGCTCTATGACTTCGAGCTGAACTTTAGCTCTGGAGCAGTCTTGCAAATCTACTGGCCAGAGTTGTCCTCAGAGATACACAAATAATCTAGCCATTGTAATAGACGGCGTCAACGCATCAGCGACCGCAGGAATCAGCATCAGCATTATCATCATCATCATCATCATCATCATCATCATCATCATCATCATCATCATCATCATCATCATCATCATCATCATCATCATCATCATCATCATCATCATCATCATCATCATCATCATCATCATCATCATCATCATCATCATCATCATCATCATCATCATCCATCATCATAATCATCACCACCACCACCACCACCACCATCATCATCATCGTCATCATCATCATCATCGTCTGTGCAGCAGATCGCCCGTTTAGGAAAGAGAATGGAGGGCAAAAGTCGGCCCATGAGGGTGACATTTGTCGAAGAAGCAAGTACCAAGTTGCTATTGTCTCGCCTTAATAGGCTGAAGGGTCTGAAGATCCACGTGCGCGCTGACTTAGAACCGGCAGACAGAGAAAAACTCAAGTCTGCCATGATTGAACTAAAGCGGCGCACGGAGGATGGAGAAACAAACCTCCGTAGTGTAAATTTTCGAGTAGTTGCCCGGGTTCCTCCACGAATCCGGATCAACAGGTTGCTAATACTTCAGGCGCGCCCAGCGGGTCCTACCGCGGTCTGCGCGTAGCCTTTACTAATGTATGCAGTTTGATGAACAAACGCGATGTGCTGTACGACTTCGTAAGCTCTCAGCGACCGGACGTATTAGGCCTTGCTGAGACATGGTTAAACTCCGACGTAACCGTCCAAGAAGTGGAAATCACCGGCTACTCATGCTTCCGCTGCGATAGACCATCAAATGATCGCGGTGGCGTTCTACTTTACATAAAGTCTTCCTTGTGTGGGAGACTAGTGAGCGCCTATCAAAGCGCTGATGGTCTATGTGAGCAGTTATGGTGTTCGATACACCTCAGACGCTGCGA